TGAATTGAAACTTCACAGAAATTAAATTAGCCAAAGCAGCCATAAAGTAAGATCCAGGTGCTAGTTATAATTTCTCTTTTGCTTACAGATCTATTTGCTTCCTCTGTGTTTCCCCTGAGTACTCAGGGGAGCAGTTAGAGCATCACTTCAACAGATTAAACAGGTAAGCGGAGGGATGGTGTTTTTTTTTAATAACATTATACCAATATCCACAGAAACCCCATTAATCAATGGAGAATAGTCTATAAAATGAATATTTTAGAAGGTTTATTAAAATTTATTACAGGAATTGCAAGCCATTCTTTTTTTTTAAGCTAAGTGTAAATTATTACCAAGAAGGTCACTACATTTAGAAGCTCTGTGAACTGTCCTGCACCTAAGACATCTAGGGTTATGAACACACACCACTCTATACAAGACTTCTTTCCTTACACTGCAAGTTGACTTTTTTTTTTCCAAGGTTTGGTGTCACTGAAGTGCAGTGTAAAATTGTGGCTATTGTTGGCCTCTTTACACACTGTTCCTAATTTAACAAACAGAGCAGTTTAGAAGGTCAAATAGGAAAACAATATCTTAAGAAAATACAACTTCTGTGGCTTTGAAATAAAAAAATCCATGCCAAAACGTTTATCTTCTCGGTTCATGAAGCCATAAAATAAGTACAGCACAGTGAATCATCTCAAAACTTCAAAGCTTGTATGCCCAGCGTACCATTTTAGGACTATTAAGTTGTACAGCTACTGTACTTGTAGTAAATAGTTATACAAGATTGTAGCAGCAGTGCCAAAGACTTCGCCCTTGCAACAAAATTTCCTTAAAGTTACACTCTTTACCGTAAACTCACTGTATAAGCTTGTAATGTCTCTTACCATCTCAAGAGCTTCTGCACAAAAAAAAATTATTGACCATTACATTGAACATACCAGCTGCCTTTAGAGAATTCAGTACTCAAAGTATGGATATTAAATTATATACACAGTAAGTGAATAATGAAATAGAATAAGTTAATTCCTTTGACGTATCAGCATTTCTGTAGAAAAGCAAAGTAAAAGTTTGGCTCATTGCATCAAAGACCATGACGATAATTCACTAAACTAAAAAGCCTCATTCTGTGAGACTGGAGGTGGTACCTTGTAAGGTATGTAAACCAAGAAGAAAATAGAAAGCCATATCTTTCAGGAATACATGATTCAGAAAGGAGCAGAACATTTATTTATCTAAGCTGGTGCCTTGCCTACATGTGATTTTTAGTGATTTGTCCCAATTACATGGTAAGCGGCTCAATTTCCATGTGTCTGTAAAGTCTAGCCCATCGCAACCTGCTTACCCCCGCCCTATGTGCGGCTGCTTGCTATTCCAGCTGGCTGGGGTGATCAGAAGGCACCACTGATGCCTTACGAGGCCATCTGGGAGGACTTAAGCCAAAAGCCCCATTAGACCATGTAAAGAGCAAGTCCTGGGGGGATTCTGAATTTTTTGTATATGTCATAGGACACTGTACAAGATTTTTGTTCATGCAGTCTGGCAAACCCACTTGTATCAGTGGCCAAGGTTTCGACAGAAAATTAAAACAAGCTTTTATGCGCTTGGCATGTTATGAATTGCATTGTCATGGGAGAACTTTGTTAGAACCTCAGTTAACAACAGCCATGTTATATGGAAGATAATTTTTTAAGGTTATGCACAAGAAGCTGCCACAAGTTCTCTCTTCCCCAGCAATTTGTTAACACCGCTAAGATTGCAGTGTCAATTTAAGCAAGTCTTAAGTTGCAATTAAGATTCAGACCAGTTCTCACCTTCCCAATCATGTCATGTCTGTAAAGATACACACCTCATTTTGGAGATGATCCTCAGCATGGCTTTGCAACAGTTCTCTGCCTACATTATACTATGCAGTGCATCATAAAATAATTTTCATTACTCCTTTTTGTAGAATGGATTCACAGTACATGGATTCCAGTACATCTTCTAATTAGCTGTTTCTTCTTCCATACAAACCTATCTACATCATCGGAAAGACTGGCTGACCAAAACAATGTCTTTACTAGTAGCTTTGACATATTCCTTCTTCTTTAAAGCCTACACTGCAAAATAAACTCCAGACATGTCCCTGAAAGTCCTTACACTTATTTGTAAGCTCTATCTTCATGGCATTTCTGCTCTGTTCCTATAAAATTCTTCCTTCCTCAACAAACACGCTTTCAATCCAGTCACTTGTGTTGACTTTGCTCCTTCTTTTCTGTCAGCTAAGTGCCCACATTTAGCTAAATGAACCCGTGCAATTCTTCCAAGGCTTGAGAGGTGTGCACAGGAGAGGCTGTTTCCTGCAACTGCTTTTTTTCTACTGGTAAAAAGCACATTCACTTTTTAGAAAAAGATGTTTTTACGCTTGATACCAAAGCTTGAGACCTGAGTAAATTAGCTGAGAAAATAACTAAGTGATATCCCACAATGTTGTTGCACAAAATACTTCACCTGACAGAAAAAAGTTCCTCTCTTTATGCATAAAGTATATGAAAATCCTCTCCAGTTAAGCAATATTCCTGGTAATAATGGAGTATTCAAAGGCAACATACTGTGGACGTGAAAATATGGCTTATATTGCCAGAAACGTTTCTCTTAATGTGCATTAATTGCCAGTACCTGCCAGCAGAAGAAAACTTGGGCAAAGAGTCCAAGCAAAGGCCCAATCTTCGAAAGGTGGTAAGTACTTCTTAGATTTAATACCAGCAACTAAGGGCACTCAAGCTTTTCTAGGGACCAAATGAAAGATCCAAAAAAAAGATTTAAGCACCCAGCTCCAAAACTCCTACTCTCAAAACCCTGTAGAGAACCTAATTTTAGAGGCAGGTAAGCAACAGGGACTGAATTCTTTTAAATCAGCTTTCTAAAATACTTTAATTTCTGCTTTTGTTCATGCATACAGTCCTCCAAACCACAACACCAAGAACCAGCTAGGTGTCCAGCACTTTCAGAACTGCCAAACTATTCATATTCTCTCTCTCCTGCTTTAGGACTTTCCTTTGGTATGATTGTTTGTACAGTGCCCAATAGATCAAACTCTGACTGGAAAAAGATTTTTTTGGGTTTTTTTAACCAAAGTTGACCAGTTTTATCTCAAACCTCACCTGTTAGAGTGCTTATTAATGCATATACATAGAGTCATTTGGCTTACTTTCTCCGCAGGAGCTATTTTGTCAATTAATAAGCATGTTTATTTAAATGTAAAATACATTGGATATACACAAATAGTTGATAATCTTATAAATTCAATTTTCCAATTTCAGAAGCTTGCTTGGGAAATGAAGGATATTTTTGGTAAACCAGGCAGATTTTTGATCTTCACCAGATGTAGTCACTTTGTGACAAACAGTTTTAGAGAGATTTCTGAATGAAAGAGAGATCTGAGTTCCCTAACAGTATTGCTTTGTATCTAAACATGTATTCATTAATCACATTAGATATCAAAATCAAATGTCATAGAAGACAATGGTTTCCTGTTGGACAACATAATGAATTTAGAATGTGGTATATGCACATTGAATATAAATTAATGGATTTAACAGACTTAGACTAGTTATATCTCTAAAATCAGTAGAAAAGTTGTTTGAATTTAGCTGTTTTGATAGTGAATAACTTTAACACTATGCACATATGTTCATTTTCAAAAGCATTTTGTAAGGGCATGACCCAAAGCATACCTAAGTTACCAGGAGAACCCGCCCTTGAGTTGAACAGACTGTGGATCAGGCCTTAACCACCGTGACTTTGTCAAGAACAGAATTCTCAGGTGATTTCTTATAAGATACGATGAGAAATGAAACACTCCACAGGTTCTCATTGATCATAGCTGCAGCCCACAAAATGACATGTGAAAAGTGGTAAAAAGGGAACCCATGAGGACTGGAAAAGACTCAGATTTTATGGGTTATTGATTTACCAGGAAGACTCTTGCCAAGTTTAAATGAAGGAAAACAGAAAAACAGCATAACCCAGCTGTAAAGCTGTTGAGGTAAATGCACTATGTGAGTGAGAACTGTGGTGATGTTCTCTAATACCCCTTCATAAAGCAGCTACATAATTTTAATGAAATAAATGCCTACAGTAAAAATTTAAGAGATCAGAATCCCAGTGAATTATAAAGTATAAATTACCGTGTATGCTGGTACTTTTACAAGACTAAAAGTACAGCATTTGCAATAAATTTCTAATAAACATTTAAATGTTAACTTATGAAAAATAGTCTTGTAGACTGAAATTTTAAAAGATTACAAACTTTAATTACAACACTACTCTCTCATTTCACTGATATAAATTAAGTAAACCACATGAATGGATGAGTAACATACATTCAACCAAACATACCACATACTTCCCACAATTCCGTAATCCCCTTCCAGAAAAGAGGGTTCGTAGCTTAACAACTATGATGCACCAAAAGGATAAAAATAAAAACATTTAGTTCCAGTAGGAAAAAATTTCATACAAAAATTGCTATTATGGCTCTGTGTTTCAGACTGAAAACTCAGACTGAAAACTCATGGAAGATATGTGATTTATGGTCAAAAATGTAAACTGGCAAATAAATAAATAATATTAATACTTATGTGCTCAGTAGTGATGCTGAATTTATGGCTTACATTACAGACATGAGAGTAACCCTTTTTTCAAAAGGGATATAAATAATTAATATAATTTATTAAATCAAATAGATTAGATTTGGCTTTATGTAATCTGCTTTTACCTTTAATTTTGCTAGGTTTTAGCTGAAAAAAGATTTGCAATCAAAAAACTGTTCAACATTCTATAGTGTGGGGAAATATCTTTTCTTAAATAGATCTTTCTTCAAAAGTCACTTACATCGCACTATATTTTTTTATCAACAAATATAACATAAAATCTCTGATTTTTAATGTATTTATACGTAAGTAAACAATTTGCATGAAATTGGCTTGTCATGTAGAGGCTTTTATAGTCCACTGGGGCTTTTTTTTCCTTACCTGGAACTCTCTTTGCCCAGTTGATCATGTGCACTAATTCTCTGTCTGCAAGGTTGGTCAACAAGGTCATCATAGAGGCTTCGTTGAATGGTCTATTTGGGTCATATTCAGAATAAACTATGGGTGGTTCAGCTTCCAGCAGGGCACTGACCATCTGTTCTGCCGTCAGGGACAGGGCTGGACTGTTCTTCTTGTTATGTTTAACCACCAGTGGACTTGTCCAAAGGGTGGGAGCTCGCAGCTCTGTAGAAGAAGCCTCCCCATTCCTGGAATCCTGTTCCTCTCTTTGACGTTTTTGTTTCATTATTCGCCCACCTCTGCGGTCTTTCCGGATTCCTAGAGACACACAAGAAGATAATGAACTCCTTTCCTTGAACATATATATTGCATACACATGGCTTCAGCCAACCAGTAGCTGCTGCTGATAGACCCAGGTAGCATTAACTTTCGGTTTATTTTCTGAAGAATTCCTCTTATATATGGAATCTTACATTAGTAGCTGGAGATAAAAACTATTTTTAAAAGTATAGTGTCAGGAATAGTGCACTCCTTCCTAAAATTCAGACAGGACTCTAGTGACACTGTATAGTTGCCTAAGCCCCACAAAAGTCAGTCAGTAATTGGGACTAAATAAATGTTTCTTTACAGCACAAACTTCAAAGTAAGTCCCAAACTCTAGCAGACAAGTGTTCTATAAATGATCAATGATAACTTAATGATCTGGGTGGCCCGGATGGATCGCAGAAGTAGCTCTCAAAAACCATCCAAGAAAGTTTTGCTCAAGTTCACCAATTATTTTAACTAAACATTATCCTATTACTGAGCCTGTGATCTTCTCAATTACATAGAAAACATCCCAAAAAGTTCCCATTATGAGATTATACAGCAATAAAGAATGGCATATAAAGTAGATAAACAGAAGTAAGAAAAAGAAAGATAATTGCAACCTCAGAATCTAATGTGGGAGACCTACTGTCAAAAGCCTGTAATAACTGCAACAGAAACCATCTTTGTCATTACTGCACATTTCTGCAATGTGCTCTAGCACTGCATGACCCTGAACCTTGGGATATTATCAAGCCAGCCATACCAATTAGAACAACAATGTAAGACCTTACAGTGGAACAAAATCTCCCTTTGTGGAAAGGTTACAAGAAAAACATAATGATAAAGCCCATGTGAACTCCAACTATAAAGGGAAGATTAAGTCTGCCTCTGAGTGGAGGAGGAACAGACATTTTGAGGCTGAGTTAAAAACTTAAATCAATCATCAAATGGGGGCGAGGGACAAGCAAGTAATACGGAAAGCACACAAGGAATTTAGCTATGAGAAGGCAGCTTGTGACAGGGCTTATTCTGGAGTTCTCATGCAATATGGAAAAGCAGTACCAAAGCCAGTCTGAAAATTGAAAGAAGTATCTATAGAGAAGGAGGAGACAAACTATTCAAATAACAGAGAAGAGAGAACAACTTAAAAAAAACCAAACCAAAACAAAACCAAAACCAGCGTTGACAACTGCTGGCACTTGCAAGCAATCCATACAGGTCTTTCTGGTGGGTGGGGGAGTGGGAAACACAATCCTTGCTCAGATTTTTTCACACCACAAAAATTTGAAACTTTAGATTCCCAGTCTTTGTCAGCAGCATCTTCGTCTCACATCCAATATTCCTTTGTATAAATGTTGGATCATATCAACAGGTGTCCTTTCCCAATCTCAAAGGAAGAGAGAGGATCTTTGGATCTGTTTGCCTCTTTCTTTGAATATGGTGATATCTTCACTGAATTAGCACTTGAAGATTAAGCACTTTAATTCATTCAAAATCTAGTAGGCCTCCTGATTCTATTCTATTAATCTTTCCAGAAAAAGTGAGTTCAATAAATCTTTCATCACTCCTACTACTTAACCTCTCTACATTTTCCCATTTATTAAACTAGTTGTAAGCCAAAAGTCTCCAGTGCATTTCTGCTCCCATTTTTCATTTAGCAATACCAATTTTTCCTACCACTAAACTGTTTCTGTCTAGGAGAGGAGAGGGGAGATCCTTGCTAGTAAGAAAAAATGCAAGACTTATTTTGGCAAAACGTCACCCTAGAGTTATTCTCATCGGTAGCTTACTTCATTGGAATCCTCAATAGAATGCATGCTCTGTCTGTAACAGATATTTTTCTTGTATGCTTTATATCAATGTAATGTTTTTGAATTAAAATTGCCCTGTGAAACATGCAGACATAATCGTGTGAACAAAACCACAAGGTTCATACACACTAAAGCATTTGTTAACTTTCTCACATCCCAAATTCTACAGCTGCTCATCTAGCAATTTCCTTTTGAGGAGTTAAAAGTATCCTTGGGACCTGTACTGTTCAACATAGTCATAAATAGATGGACTCAGAAGTGACTTAATTCAGAAACAAGATCTTGGGGTTAGACTAATACTATAAAAACATCAGATAATTTGGTTTAGAAAGTAAATAGAAGGCTAGAAATTACTAGGAGAGGAAGGGAGGACAGTGTATCTTCATAAATCGCAGATTTTATTAACTCATGAGACACACTACAATGAACATTGTGTGCAGTTCTGTTCTTCCCATTACAAAAAGAGATATAAAAGATAAATGGATAAGAGAAAGACAAGTAAGATAATCCGAAGTGTGAAACAATTGATGCAAGAAACAGCTGAATTGACTAGGTCTGCTTGGCCTGCAAGCCAGATGCAAGACTACAAAATCAGGAGTAGCAAGAATATGAATGAGGTACAAACACTGACTCTTCTATCTTAATACAACCCTAGAATCATAGAGTAGTTCGGGTTGGAAGGGACCTTTAAAGGCCATATAGTCCAACCCGCCCCTGCAGTGAGCAGGGGCAGCTTCAACTAGACCAGGTGGCTCAGAGCCCCGTCCAACCTGACCTGGAATGTTTCCAGGGATGGGGCATCTACCACCTCTCTGGGCAACCTGTGCCAAGGTTTCACCAAGATAATACAAGATGGTACCAAAGGAAACTACTCCATGCAATGTTCAGGACAGACAAGGTGTTTCACATCATGCAGAAACAAGGCTGAAAGCGTGAATAAATTGGAAGTTGGTATATGTTAGAAAGCTATAGGCCAAATTTGATGGAGAACAGAATCCATTAAGAGTTAATAGGCACAAATAGGTCACCTTTGGCTTAAGTCTCCATGGCATAGATTACTGGAAGATCACTGAGGATTTTTTTGAGTTTGCTTTTTACTTATTCCAGGCCTGCCTTGTTAAGTAAAACAAGGATGTGATGAGAATTTGACAACAGAGGGAAGGTGGCAATTTATCTGCTTACAAATCAACTAGATGCTAAATGAGCACAATAGTTTTATTTTTAATTTGTCTGCAAGCTTCCCGCTGGCTTTTCTTCACCTTGAAAAAAAGTGGTGGTTTGAGCACATGTTCATTGAGTTGAACATAATCAGTTTGGAGGAGGTGCCCCACACAAAACTATTTTTACATTTTTATTTCAGGATTTAAATAAAAACAACTAAGCAAACAAGCATAGTAAGCCTACACTGGATTTTGTAGAGATCACATCTGAAAAAAAAAAGTCAGTATGTGTATGCATTCCTTCTGCACCCCATCAGCAGTTTTTATTACCACAGACAGAAAGGTCTTTGAATCTGTGTAAGTGTCATACTTACCAGAGATTTATAGAAATTACTGCTAACTATTCACCTAACCCCTAGATGGACAAGCAACATAGTGATTTTATTACTCACTTTCTTGGACCAAATTGGAGTGAGTATCTCTCTGAAAAATGCAAGTGCCTCCAAATCTCCTTCAGCTTAATCAAATTTTATCTCTGTTAAAAAGAGATGAGTGATGCACAGTCACTTATTCCAAAAAAGACAACTCTATCAAGCTACAATTTCATTGCCAGAAGTGCAATGATCCTGTAAGGTTTTTTAAAATATATGAATGCATTAATTTTGATTCTACAGTTCAGCCAGTAAAGGAAACTGAATTGCCAAATGTTATGAAAAACAATATTCTACCAAAAATGGAAGTACTATGTATCTTGCAAAAGCTCTAAAACAATTTCCACTTGAGTTTCAAAGCTACGAGAGCCAAGATTTTCAAAGGCAGTTTTATAAAGCTTCCTATGTAAATTCAGTCAGCCTTTTAGATATGGAGGAAGGTTTCAAAACTGCTGAGTAATTATATACTCCAGCCAGTAGAACCTGATCAGCAATATAATTGCACATGCACCATGGAGTCAATGCTAATCAAATGAAACACTTCACTGGTGTTTTCCAACACGTAATCAAAACAAAACAAAAAATAAATTCAAGATTATTTAAAAAATAAAATCCTAGATTAGGAATGTATTGGATGAATATTGAATCTCAGCCATCCAACAGCTAGCTTCTTCCTAGCTACTGCTAAGAACAAAACTCCAAAAAGGTGGAGTCAGTCAATATCATCAGTATTATATAAAACATTCAAGAATATTTACACGAAGAGAAGGCGGAGAACAAATAGGATAAAATTTGCTTTGCTCTGTGTGAACCATAGAATTATGCATTTTCGATTTAAAGATATATGTATAATCTCAAATCCTATTCTATTCAAATATATTTCCTATGAACTGTTTTATATAATATTCTTCAATTTCTTTACTATTGGAAATTTTGTAGGAATATTTGTCAAATAAAGAATGTTTATTGTTTGCAATAAATGGGAACAGTTTTGATAAAACCCAATAAACTTTTCTTGGTACTAACACTGAAAGAACCCTGGCTATTTGATAAAACTGAAACAGCCAAGATATTTTTATGTCCTTCCTATTGTTCACTATTCTGGAAATTCTAAACACAACAGCTATTGCTTTTTGTCTTGTTTGGAACACCAACCTGCTATCTGGAAAACTTACTGTGCTATTTTCATTAACACAGTACAAAAAAATGCAAAAGACCTTCATCTTCTCTTTCCCCTATATGCACAACTTTTCTTGTTCACACAATGGGTGGGTATTAACATGAAAACTGTACCTGCCTGTCAGTTTAAAGCCTATGAGCTTGCAGCCTATTTATTAACCCATCTATTCGTGCTCCATTTCAGTCTTGCTGGGGTTCTGAACAGCTTTCCAATAGCTGCAAGCAACAACTAGGTTATTTTTTACAAATGGTACCTTTCTTTGAAGGTTAAAATTCTCAGGTGAATTGTATATTTAACCTCATCTTATCTTGTTTACCTGCAAATGCAGGAAAAAAACCCCATTCCCCAATATTTTTTGAATAAAACCTACCCCAAAAGTATACAGAGGTCTAGTCCTCTAACTGTGTTTTAGTAGACAGACT